AAAACGGTTTATAAATCCATGCTTAGATTGGGCTGGACGCTTGCTGATGCGCCGTGGAGGTGGCAAAGTGATGTTGGCATCCTTGCCATTGATCCCCACGATCGCAACTTTGAGGGTTGTGCCAAAAGAGTTGCGCACTTGATCCGTGAATCGTGGAGACGGCTTCTGTTTCGGCGATGGCAGTCCAGGAACCGCACTGACAGTCGACTGTGTCGTGATGCTCCCTACAATGAAAAACAGTGCGCTGCTGCGCGACGGTTGGCCACCTCCAATCGCAATGCTTTCACCATTCTTTCTGGTGCTGCGTGCTCTTGGGCTCGCAGACGATGGAATGATGAGGATCGCACCTGTTCTTGGTGCCATCAAGCTGTTGGCTCTTAGGAGCATGCTGCTTGGAACTGTCCCAACAATGTGCCGCCGTGCCGGCGCTCTGCGTCGAACCTTGAAGCCCGTCTTGGTTGGGGCGGGGGTGCTGTCTTTGATCACCTTCAAAACACTCGTCCGAAGCTGCTGCCTTACCTGAGAGAACTGAGTCGCCGTGAGGCTCAGGAACCTGATGACATCGATCCCGGTTGATGCAGCTGTGTTGCTTGTGTACCTCTGTCCGTGTGGCAGGCTGTTGGCAAGTTGCTACCGCATCACTTTGCGGTTTTCCTCGTTGCTGCATTGGTCCTACTAAGGCAACGCTGCTCTACTAGGGATCACATTCCTGGGTCTTTGCGCACTTTCCTGAGTGCGTCCGGTTTGACTTCTTCGTGTCCTACTTTGGCAAGTTTTGGGGATGACTGTCCCCCTTCTCCTGATGTTCTTGTATGGCATGTTCGTACATTCATATGGGTACAGCGTTTCTTTAGATGATGCAGAGATTGGATGATGTCCACGTTCTGCGCGTTGGGAAATGACATTCGACAGTTGGAGAGAATATCACAAAGAGCTGTTGATGGAAATTCCGCGCCAGGGCTGTCTGGAAGAAGTTCTGGCTAAAGCCACTCAGCTACGCCAACTGGTCTCCATGGACTAGGCCCAAGTGCTCCTTTACTTTGCACAGCCTGTCCTAACGGATTCGTATATTGGTGCACAAGGCATACACTGATCAATTCAGTGATTCAGGGGGACTGGCAAAGCAGCTTGCGACTGGCTCATATCAAGCATCAAACTGCTTGTTTTCTGTTGAATAACACAAAATAGCCCCACGTTTAAACCCTTCCCACGCTTTTTACTGCGACAGTACTTATATGCGGTACTCCCTGTTACTTGGAGCCTATCTTGTGGACAAATTGAGCTGAATTCGGGAATCATGGAAAAGAAAACGGAAAATGAAGCGGGTTCAGCATGGTTTTGCCGGGAAGGACTACACCCCGACCAAACCAACCACATGTGACCAACATGACGGTTCCTTGCTGGGAGGTTTGGATGTTGTTAAAGATGCAATCACTGTAAAAGAGAACCTGGGCTAGGCAGCTTAGCAGTGGACACCAGTTTCGGGAAAATGCTGTAGTCAGCGTTAAAACAAGACATAAGACTTGCCTCTGCACAGGCTGCTCCAAAGTTGTCCCAACACCTCAGGCATTTGGATTTCAGCGACTGACAAATAAGCCCTGAAATAAAACATCATTTCTGGTGCTGTGCCGTGAAAGCAAGTTGGTCAGTCATCATCAATGCTGTTCCTGAACAAGAAACCCCGGGCATGGGCTCACACAAATTATGCGCATTACACCGTATGGACCACTGTTGATATTTCCTTGGGTAGGCCTCCTGCACTCCAAACAGCTAACGATTGTCCTGATCAAGCTGAATCTATGTAGATGACTGCATCCCCATTTGCACCCACAAGTGCCTCCAGGGCCTGAGTAAAGCGTAAGCCCTAAGAATGCCTTCGACCTTTTTTCAAAAAAGCTGGGAACGCCTCTTCGTGGAGATGATCTTCGGGAGATCTGCTGTGCAAATCACACAAACCGAAGCCAGCCCCTCAACCCCAAAACCAGGATTCCAAAGACCTGTGACCCGACACTTCCTCCATCACAGTTCTTTCTCAGGTTCATACACCTTCAGCCCTTAGAATGCCTGAATGTTCCAGTTTCGCCGTTCAATGTCTTGGGCATAAAAACTTGTCTTCAAACCTGTCTCATCTACCCTGGAGCTGCCTGACTGACGTCTCAAAACGGTTAGCTCCCGCTCATCATACACCAACATGAAGCCAAAATACCTGTAGCCATGTGTATTACTACTGTTCTGATGATTCTGAATAACGTAAGCAAAGACAATGGTGGGGTGACCCCCACGTTTCGGCCCAATCATTCCCAATCAATTTCCAGGGCCGCGGCGGCGGGCTATGCCGGAGGAGATGAAGCCCTGAAGAATCCAAATGGGGGATTGTCAAAATTATGGTCCCTTTTTGGGTCCCTATTATAATATGGGGCCTAATACGGGGCCTAATCTAGGGGACCCAGAAAGGGACCATAATCTTGACAATCCCCCAAATAGAACGAACCCAGTGATACAGAAACTGGGTTGCTGTTAAGGAACTTAAATTAAGTTACCATAATGGGTGTATATAGTAAATAATAGGGTTTCCCCAATATAGTATCTTAATTTAAGTTCCTTGACAGCAACCCAGGACATGATGATAGCATTCATACCAATGCTTACGATAACGAGTACAACAAAGACTGATTACAGGAGGGAGAAAGCCTGGACCATAATGGGGTTTCTTAACGTGGTTTACACGCTCGATGGGGGACCATGGAGCTGTTTGGAGAAAGTTCACGAAAATTGATGGCAGAGCCGGCACTCAGCATCGAGGTATGCTAAGTTGCAAATCCTAATTTGGGATACCACGAAACACAAGAGGAATCTAATATCATCACTGAAAGAGACTATATCTGGAAATGAGTTCAGGTTCTGACCGGGTTATGTCCTGAACGTTTTCTCATTCTTCGGGGCTGAGGCGGTCAGGGTTTAACCTTCACACATCTTGAGCCACGGGCTAGGACGGGGTTTGCTGCACAACTGGGGCAATGCCCAGCTCATGTAAAACTGCGAGTAATCTGCTACTGAAACACGACTATGAAGAGAAGACTGCAAATCATGATGATTCTGATAATCAGTGGAAATCAAGTCTAACAGACATCAAAAAGTATGAAACACCAAAAGATACAAACAATTTTGCACCCACTTTTTTGACCTAGAATATGTTTCGGCATCCACTTCAGGACTATCAGGCCAATATCTGAACATCCTCTTGAACGTGTTCCGATTGTGGGGCCCCAACCGAATCCAGATCATCGCCTTTAAATCAATCCCCGAACCCTCAGAACCAAGGGAGGTTGAGATATCTGTTTTAGGATATTTCCTGACCACATGTGTGAGGAGAGGGCCCTAGTCTAGAGAGTGTGGCAAGTATACTAGCATGTTCATCTTTTTCTCTTCTAAGGGAATCTGAGGCCTTCGCCGGCGCCAAAGCCGCAGCTCCAGCCTTGACTTCCAACTTGCTGGTGCTTGAGGTGCAGTGTGGGGATATTTTACTAGTACCCATTGGGGTAGTATTAGGGTTCTATTGGGATAATGGAAAATGAAATGGTGACTACTATAGTGTCCCATATTATGGAATACATATTTCATTATTATGGGGAATCACGCTTCCACTTTTTCCTTGAGCACCAGTAAGGCAAAGCTTTGAGAGGGCTTAAAAAGGTGCAGGCTGCGCAGGGCTTTTGAGTTTAAGGGTTCAAATCTGAGAGCTTTAGGGTGTAAGTGGATAAGAAAGGATTTGCAGCTTGGGGTCTATGATTTGAGGCGTTGCGGTGTAGTGCTTTGGTTTAAGGCTTTTCTGGTTCAGAGTTTAAGCCCTCTGGGGCTCTTCTTTCTTGCTCGGCTATAAATCACTGCGAGAATTTGTCTGCAGTCCCAAAAACCTCAGCCATTCATTCTGTACTCACAAGTGGCATTAGCTCGTGACAACAACGAGTTGGAGCTTCAGGGTGTAGAGTCGCGGAGTTGCGACACGAAAGAACAGCAAGTATTCAAGTGCTGTTCTTCCACGCCCGCAACTTCCTTAACCAATCAACTTCAAGCATGCCAGCCAACCAAAAACGCGCTGACGGAGAAGGATCAGCTCAGGAATTGACTGCAGCAACCACCGTGGCGCAACAGCACTTTCGGGAGGTCCTCTGCGGGCTGCTCCGTTTCTGAAAGCCCTGTGCATAAAATGCCAACCTTTAGGAGTTCAGAAGAACCGTTGATTTCCACATGGCCGCCCGGATGTTAGTGGGCTTGATCTTTGTTCATCACCAGAATGCAAACGCGCCCGAAATATACTCGAAAACTGCCCGTCCTTGAGGGCGGCATCACGTTGAAGAGGCGAAGCAAAAACTCACAGCAACTTCTCAATGTGATGGATGTGGATATTCTGGAGGTCTGTTTTCTTTGAGAATCTAACACGCCGCTCAGAAAGCATGTACATGGAACTCTTCCTGTTAAGTCTCCGTGCGGAAGGCCGGCGTTCCAAGGCCAAGAAGCTCCTAACTTCATGAACCTCCTCACCATTTCTTAGACCCTGAAACCGTGCAACTACTCCTCTCAACACAGCAAGACAACATCACATGCTGATAGTCGCGCTTTGCTTTTCAAAAGCCCGCAACTCAAGTTCTTTGAGGCAGGCTCCAGTAAGGGAAACTTTCCGGGTCTTCGAAGACTGCGGCTTAGCTAACGCAGCCCGGCAGCACGGAAGCAGTATTTACAATTCTGGAGACACCGCAGAGTGCCAGATCCTTGCAATCGACGCTTGGCTGCTTCTGAGCTCTTGCACGCCACTAGCCAGTCAAAGAGTGGATGTCACAGCTTCCTGATCTTGATATTGCTGTAAATGGCTGGTAGGTTTGCAAAGATATGTGTTTTGCAGGCTTGTGGGCTAAACTATTAATCCACTAACACAGGCCCTGCCGCACAGCACGCAGGGGATGTCAATGTCAATGCAACGCTCATTGCTTGCGCTTTTCCTCTCAGAAGTCATCACCTCGGGAGATCACCTGCAGCACTGACTAGCAATCACTGGTCAAAAGGCCAATGTCTTCTTGCATTATGGGGAAGAACGCCTTCCAATACAACACACAGCTACTGATAGGCACTGCCATGCCTCCTTGCACGTCGGCCGCAGCAGAATTGTATGCTCCATCTGTGTGACATACCTGGCAGACTAAAGACCAATGCCTGAGAGCCCAATACAGAGATCTGATCTGCCATGCTGTCATTCGGCTTCTTGTGCCCTCCTATCTCTTCTCCTCTCAACACCCTCCCCACCTTCTCTCCTGTTGCCCTCCCATGCCATCACAAAGCTACCTATTTTCAGTTCCTTGAAAGCCCCGACACGGGTAGGACAACCATAAGCGGTTCTGAAGGGTTGAGAAATCCAAGCCCGACAGGTCACGAGCCCTTGGCGTCGCAAAGAGGCGGGTAAGGCTGGACGATGTCGTTGTCCACAAGATTCTTGAGAGCCTTGCTGGAGGATTTAATGAAGTGCATTTTTGGGGATGATCTTGGCATTTGGGGCCTGGAGCGCTTACAGGATCGAGGGCACATGGGAAGAGATCAAGTCTCCTAGGCGGCAGTTGCAAAACACGATCCGGAAAGCACTGTACTGTACAGTGATTCGAGAGGAAACAGCCGCTTCTTTTCCTTGCCACGGCATTCGCATGTGAACACCACGACAACAGGGGCGGCAGCAGCAGCGGCAGCAGCAGCAGCAGCAGCAGCAACGGCAGTCCTTCTCCATCTTCCTTCTATGTTGTGACCCTTAACTGCCCTTCCGCATCATCCTGTGCCGCCAACCCTTCCAGAAACCTCCCTCTACTCCAACAATTGCCTGAAAAACAGGTACTTGTAACTGTCTAGATATGCCGGTCGATACAAGAAGACAAGCTTCAGCGTGAGTCTTGCTAAGGTTCGTCACTGAGGCTCCAGCCATCAAGTGGCGAGTCTGTCCCAAATCATCTAGCCAGCGCCGGCAGAACCTGCCAAAGAGAGATTCTTGACGGTTTAGCACTGGGATTCGGGGACTGGGTTGCAATGCATGTTAGGAGCCCACATGAAAGCCTTCCACTTTTTTGGGCTGTGACTGCTCAAACCTGTAGCCAGCGTGGTCTGGATACTACTTCCACGGGCAAACACATTGGCAGCCTTTGAGTTGTAAGCACAACAAATAAAACGCTGCAGCAAGTTGCCTGGCAACTCCGCCTGAGACCCTTAGCCCTCTCTCCTGTACTGACGGGATTTGACAAACCTGCCCTGGACTGGGTTGCTGTTAGGGAACTTGAATTAAGTTGACCACAATGAGGAAACCTCATTATTTACTATAGGCTATATACCCATATTATGGTAACTTCAACCCAAAGAAACCGGAGTGGCGCACGCTAAGGTTCCAAAATTCTGCTCGATGGCGTGCAGCAGGGCCTGTCACAACTCATGGCTGTGTAACTCATTTCTGGCAATGGTCTAGGATTGGCAGTTGAGGGATAGGTACGATGACAGGGGTATGTTTGGGGATTCTATGATGATTATTACCGTCAAGAAGGAAAATTAACTTGACAAACTCCTGGGTTTAACCTAAAGCCTGCACATCTTGACTGGACAGGAAGAACAGCCAGGACAGTAAGTTGTATTCAGCTACTGTTTGGGGACAGTGGTCTTTTGGGAGTTGCAGGGACATGTGCGGACTATAACGGGACTGCATAGGTCACCTTGAGGATGGTAAAGGGTTGTTTCGAGAAATTCGCATCTCAACATGCCCCGTGAACTTCAGTGTGTTCAAATCCTATCCAGCAGAAGACCTTTCTTATGTTGCAGGAGAGGCTTAGCCATCTTGCACCTGCCATGAACAGCAGAACCAGCACTTTGTGATAGCACAATTATCTTCAACTTGTTGAAGAAGATTCGTGGGGAGCAATGCGCCCCACGCAGGCTCACGGGAAAGACTACGACCGAAGGTCCCTCAAGCATGGAATCTGAGCCCTCGCAAGTCTTTTCCAAGCCGCAGCATTTGCAAGCCACTTTTTAGACTCTTCTGAGGCCTTTGAAGTGTAGCTAGGGGCGGGTGGTGTAACACGTAGCTCGGTCTCCGAAAATCCTCCACTCTGCCAGGGATACCTAAGCCCTCCCGCAACCCTGTGGATGATACAAGCCTTGGAGCTCTTGACGCGCAACGGCACATGTTGCGCATCAAAGATCCTTGGCTCAGTCTGCGACAGAGCGCTTTTCTTGACGCATGGTGAGGGTGCTTCTTGATGGTGATGTACAGCAGGGGTTCTTCTGATGACCTCCCGTTTGAACGGAAGCGAAGTCACAGTCAGGCCTGAAGATGCTGCATGAACGGGACGAAACAGGGCCCAACCGAGCTCAAATCCAGGAACGTAAAGCTTTCTGAAGGTTGAGGGCTGAGGAGGCTAGTTTTCCATCTGTCGCACGAGCATTCGCTACAACCAAAGCCCAAACTACGGGAGTCTGGGGCATTTGACCAAACTAGTCCCAATGCTCCTAACCAAGATAGATAAGTGCAGCTGCGTGGCTTCATATAATGAGAGCACTCAAGATCCTCCACCACATAGGCCTTACCTCAGCAAACAGGGGATACAACACCAGAGCTAAGGCTGGTGCACAACCCTCTGTTGCATGCAGACCGTCGGCGGCAGATGCAAGCCTCTCGTCAAGCAAAGCTAGCTGAAGATTCTCGTGGATGAGAATTAATTCATATCACCAATCCCAGCAACCCCTGTCAACTTACCTGGTTTCTGGAGGATCGCTTCCCGCTCAGTACATCGGGCACATCCCTCTTCTGGTGCCCAGGACTCGTAAGCACCGCAAAGGATCAAGCGGCAACAGTTCACCCGGTGGATGGTTTCGGGTCCAGGGGTGGATTGCCAACCCTGCCCCCTGCGGTCCTACAGGAAAAGAACGCTGAGCTCCAGTCCATTTGATGCGAAAGTCTCCTTAGAAAGCTTCACATGGTGATTTCCAAATCGCCTGAGCAACTACATCTGTAACTGATGCAACCACTGACAGGTGAAGGGGACCAAACTCGGACCACTGCAAACTAGTCAGTTCCCTCCTGAAAGGAAGCCATGCCGACAGATGATCGCCACTGCATTGTGTCTTGGAGGTAGCCCCAGTTTTGAGGGCCAGGAGGTTGAAGCGTGGTCCATTAGAATGCAGCCCAGAGGCAATTGCATAGAACTCACCCTCTTCCATGATGGAAGATTCCTGGTTCTTGGTAATTGGCACCTCGGACACAGGTAACGGCTGCTTGTGCTGTGCCCTGCACCTTGGTGCAGGAACAACTTGTCACACAAGCCCAAGGAAGAACTGCTATGTGGAGAAAGCTTCATGTCCGTGCAACACTGCCATGCCACACTTTGAAGACTTGATCTGTTCAAGCCTTTTGCAATCCAGTAGCTTTGGCCCTGTAGGAGGAACCAGTTTTAATTTTTCGGGAAGCAGCTCCTGGTCTGGGCCTCCGTTTTTGGTGGCAGACCCGTCAGTCCTGGGTGACTCACATAAACCTCATGGTCCTGAATCAAGGGGGACTGCAGCAGCTGGGGACACATAGAAGGGGGCCCCTTATGCCAAAAAAGCCGTCCCCATAACCCTAAGTTCTGTCACCCTTGCACCCCCAGACGAAGATCCTAAGCCACATGTGGTCCCTAAGAATCCCCAGTTTGAGAAAAATCCCTAGCTCTGAAACCCTTAACCTTAAACTCTCACCAAACCAGAACAACTTAAACCCTTATCCACATCTCTGATCAGACCCTAATCGCCAAGTACTCCAAGGAGGGCGCTGACTTGCCCCCATGGATTTGGTAGGGGCCAATGGAGTGCCCGTTCAGATTCCGCACCGGCTTGATCGGCCAAGTCTGGAACGGGGGTTATATAGGAATGCGTTAGAATGGCGTAATGTAAGGTTTATGTACATATATAAATATATACATATGTCTTTGTTTAATGGCCACATGCTTGATGTAGGGGTTCACGCGTTTCTATAAGGGTGACATGGGTATAGGGATTGGAGTTGTGGAGCTGTAGGGTTGCTTAGGGCCTAGGGTTTGGGGAGGGTCTAAATACCTTTGGGTTTGAGCGCGTAGGGGTGCCATGGGTAAACATTAGTCGGATTTTGGCTACTGCGATATAATTGTAATTGTCCTACTTGAGCCCCGCACTGTAAATGAACCTGCCGGTCTCCTCAAATAGACCATTTATCATAACACCGAGCATTGGCAAGTTCGTAGGGGCTTTAGAAAGCGTATGGGCATCAGAGGGATTGTAGAGATGATGGGGCTCATGGGGAGTGCGGAGAGCATGGCACAAACGTTGCAAGCTATTGTGGGAAAGAGGATCGGAATCAAAAAAGATCGGTTGTCAACAGGGTCATCACGGCAATGCTTCTGATGCCACTAGGCATCATTCTAGGGATGAAGGCCATGATAGAAAGAAGATGTTGGAGCAGAGAGATGAGTCGTGGGCTTGGAACATGTGTTATAGCTGGGTACCTTCACAGATGCCAGAATAATTGTCCGGAAATTTATCTAAAATGCAGAAATTCCAGAAGGGCCTTGCCATTGAGCTCAATTTCGTAGGACCTGACGAGCGCAAACAGGCATGTGCGTTCCCCCGTTTCTCGAAGCCCTCACTCTACTCTTCAGGCTTTAGCGGCGGAAACTGCCATGCCTCAATGGTAAGCGTGTGGGCACGGAATCAAGAAAACACTCTCCGCTCTCATTTTATCTTACATCATATGCTGCTTGATTCTTCAATCCAACCCGTTTAAAGAAAAAAACACATGGCATGTTTGGCATCAGCAAGCCCAAGCAACCATCTGTCTGGGAAAGCCCTTTTTCCGTCTGTACACTTTCAAACTCCTGCAGACCTGCTGGATTCCGACCCTGGAGCCACTGAGGCAGCTCAATGACAGAAAAACCAAGGATTCGAGGTTCTCGTAAGTTCTCCTTAGGAAGATGAATAGATACTCAGCCGCGAATCAAAGCTGCAAACACCGGCAATTGTTTCTGGCTCAACAAGGTTGCACGCTACCCACAATTCTAATATCCTCCCCACACTGGATAACTTCTCACTGCCCCTCTGTAGCCTGCTCCCTTGTAATCCCTAGTCTTTGGACCTGGCTAATGACGTACAAAGTACACAGTTGCCGGGTGCGCAGGATGGCCGACCATTCAACTTCATACTACACGTACAATGGCCGAAAGCCAAGTTTTTGGCACATACAACCACCTGGCTCTTAAGCTGGGAGGGGGCGTAATGATAGACACTGCCAGAATCTGTCAAGACTTGAATGCAGTCCGAGAAATTTACCTTCCTTTCGAATCTGTTTCAGTTGTGTTTAATCGCGATTCCGTAAACACAGTGGCTTCAAGCTCTGGCTCCATCATGCTTATGACATTGGGGCCAGATCAGTTTTCCGATCCAGCGCTTCTGAGCTCAAGCATAATTGAGGCTGTCCTACTGCCCTAATACGCAAATAATGTGGTAGTTTTCCCAAAATGAGGCCCCAACATAGGCCTCAAAATACTATAATCCTCATTACAGGGACCCCCAAAATGGTACCCCTTATTTTGGGAAACCCCCATATGGTAGTTTCCATTTTCTTTTCCATTGTTAATCCATTGCTTCGCTGCAAGCCTTGAGATTTCGTCTGCCATCTTTGCAGCCCCATCTTTCTTGATTGATCTGCATATCACTGTAGTATGTTGAGGTTATATTGGGATACTGGAAAAGAAAATGGAATCTACTATGTTATGTTGGGGTTATATTGGGAATCATGGAAAAGAAAATGGAATCTACTATGTTATATTGGGGTTATATTGGGAATCATGGAAAAGAAAATGGAATCTACTATGTTATATTGGGGTTATATTGGGATAATGGAAAAGAAAATGGAATCTACTATGTTATGTTGGGGTTATATTGGGAATAATGGAAAGAAAATGGAATCTGCTGTAGTATGTTGGGGTTATATTGGGATAATAATTTTCGCGAAGCCTTCGGCCGGAGCCCTCCCACTGATATTCATCCCCCCTCAACACACCTCAGCTACTCAGGTGCCCAGACCATCAAATACACGCATACTTCCTATATAGCCTACTAGAGAATCCATGCAACTGGATTCGGCATGCACCTCTACACTGGTTCATTCCCTCTCGAACCACCAGGGAGTCTTCACTGAGAATGCTGCTCGATGGTCTCCTGGATTGCGGCACCGATGTCTGAGAACCGGGCATCAATGCCTGCTTCCTGACTCAGCAGGTTGGGACTATGGGCTTGAGACCTTAGGGTTTGAGGTTTGGGCCTTTACGGTCACACCTTTTGAGGGCTTGTAGGTTTTGGAGGGGGTGGCGGGCTTGCGGGTGCAGGGTTCAGGGATTTAGTGTAAGGGCTCAGGGATTCAGAGTCATGGCTGGTTGCTTTCGCATGAACCACAAGATTCAAATGGCTTTGGAGGCAGAAGTTAAACAAATTGTCCAAATCCTCACAATGCCCTGCTACCTTCCACCAATGACTGCACACCGCAGTTTCGCAAAGAATGGCACTGCTTTGAAGCGTGCAATGTTGAGATGCTCAAGCCTCATCCACTGACATTGCGAAGCCGATAGCTGACACAGACTCCAGGCCGACAATTGCAAGAGCGTCTGCCTTGACTCCTGTGTTGGTCCCCGCTTGGCTTGCTTCAACGATGGGGTCGTACCTCCAACCGAAGCAACTTTGCAAGGCGGAGGAGAGTAATAGCAAGAAAAGCGTCATCCCAGCCTCTCATTGAAGGCTATGGTAAATGCGCTGTCGACGATGCGTCCGCCTGCAAAACTTGACAGACGCCTGAATTTGTTGGGGATAAGGCGCGTGGCAGTTTCAGACTGTAGTTATTCGGGAGCGTCGCAAGACATGCTTGGCAAAGTCATTCTCCCGCATGCGCCGAGAGGAGGCCTACTTGAACACCGAAGTCCAACTTGCAAACGTCATCGTACTGCAACACCTTTGCATGGCGCTGTTACAGGCAAGCGTGGGGGTAGATCGCATTCAGTTCGCAGCCCATAGAAGTATTTGTTGACCATCCCTCAGCTGCTTATACAAACGCATGCTGCAAGGCCCCCCGGCAGTATGCTTTCAGGGAAAAACTATTTCCCCTAAACCCCAAACATCATGTATAAGGAGCCCTCATGTAACCACAGAAAGGGATCCCAAGTTTTAGGAAGCTTTCATCGCTCATCTGCCGGCTTTTTCTCAAGGAACACAACAGCTGATTGTGAGCTGGGGGCTTTGGGTCCCCTTAAGTTGGGATTGAAAAGCTCAGAGATATCTTAAGAGTGGCTGGAAAGATGCCATCCAACTATAACAACTCCTTGTATACCGCGCTTCAGCAAGAAACTCCTGTGTGCCCAATAGTTGGGAGAGTAGCTGTGCCGGGCCGCAGGCCGTTTCGTCTCCATAGTTTGGAGTGTAATGGGCCGCCACCTGGCTGTGTCCAAACTGGGATCCATGACTTCAGGCTCCAGGGAGGGGCAGGGCAGCACCCAAAAGGCTTCCGTCCTGTTTCAAAGACTGTGCCCTGGCATCTGGGGAAATCCCTCAAAGCTCGTATCTGCCCTACAAGTCATCTAGGGGGTAATAGGATGAACCCTGCGGCTGTTAAAAGGGACTCAACATGTCTGATGGACAGATGGCACCAAATTTCTTGCCAAGGCCTGACTGGAGGGCCCAGTCAACATGCCATGTAGGTTGACCCTCAACAGAAAGCCATTAATCCCTGAACACCTTAAGCCTTGAACTTCAACCTGTAGTCCCTGGAGACTAAATCCTGAACCCCAAATTCTAGATCACTACACCTGGAATACCTAAAAACCCAGAACAAACCAGAACTCCTTGAATTCTTGGCATCTCAAAGAACATGCCGCTGAGACCCAGTTGAGCGAGCAGCCTTATCTTGCGTTTTGACTCCGGCAGCTGTCATCATCATACACGACACTGAGAATGATGCTGCTAACCGTGGCCTAAGCCCTAAACCCTAAACTCTTAAACCCCTAAAACCTCCACCCCTAAACTCCTAAACTCCTAAGCTGTAAACCCTAAAGGGTTCTGCGGACAATGAATCATTGGGCACGGCCTTTGGGGCTCATCATCTTGGTGTTCGAACCGGGTCCCTATACTCCCCTAATTATCCCCCCACCTGAATGGCTGGTGGTAGGCTGCTGACAGAACCAGTGCCCCAGGCTACATCAGATGCAACAAGGTGAGACCACTTTGCATTCCAGAAATGCGGTACCAACGCCTGCTTACGGAAACCAAGATTGCAGGACTCCAAGAGAAACACGGTTCTACAGATCCAGCGGCTTGCTGAGCTCAGGTCCCGTGGGAAAGCCCCAACCTGCCTCCAGCCCGTTGGCCTCAGGGTTTTGCTTCTGCTACCAGGAGCTACAGCACTACCTTTCTCAAGAACCTCACTAGGGTCGTGAATTGTGTCAGAGAGTCTCCAGACCTTCTGAACAGGAAAGCAGGAAGGCACCGTGGCAGGGAGGGGGCGTGGGAGCAGAAAGGGCAGCAGCGGAGAGCGAGATCAGGGATGAGAGCAATATCGGCGGCACGTGCGGGGGGCGGTTGGGATAAAGGGCAGTGCATGCTGGAAAACTGTGCGTTTTCGCAATGTACCATGTGGCAGCAGAAGATAACAGGCACTTTGATGAACTTTGTGGTTTGTTTTTGGGTTCCCGGCTCAACCTTGTTTTGTGTGAGTCTGAAGACAGTACGGCTTTGCAAGTACGAGCAGCAAAGCATGTTTTTGACATCTTTGCATATACAAATGTGTAAGCTGGATGCTAACACTCGGGCTCGCACCACGACCAGCTCATGCGTTTTTCGCTCCAGTCGTTGGCAGATCTCTGTCATCTTAAGGCCGGGCTTAATGAACGACTGCACGTACCTCTCACGCAACTTCCATGATCTCAAGTGGCCAGGAGCAATGGATCAGATCCAAATGGTCTAGAGAAGACTGACACAAAATGCTGGCAACATCCCGGTAAGTTGAGGTGTGGGGGTCCAAAGCTGCAAAGGTCCTTTCGTGGTCCCACATATATTCTGATTTGATTCCCCCACAGATACTTAACTTTAAGAATGGCATTACTGGTGGAAGAGAATATAAAAACAGCTCGGAGCAAAGGCTTGCCTGAGCACTGCAACTGAGATCAAACTGGTGTTTAATGGGAATGCTGAACCCCAGTTAAGAAAACAAGGAAGCATAATCCACCACGATCTAAGTGATATGGTGGACCTGGCGAGAAGAAAATGAAGAAAATTGATAGTGACCACTATCATGACGATACAAAACAAGTTTTTGCTGATACGAGTTTCTGTCACGCTTCCTGACCTCTCTTCAGTCTATGCCTGCAACACTATTCCTGTCAATCCGTCAATTGTCAACATCACACGCAGCAGGCCCTGGTTGGGAGATTTCGGGAGCGCACTTCCTCACCTGACGGTGGACCTCTCCGGCTTTGCGGATCTTCTCGTAATCGTAGGACGCAAGCCGCTCAAGCTGGCGCAGGGAGGCTGTCAAATTTAGGGGCTAAGCCGCTAGACCTTACAAAGCCCAAACCAATAAGGGGCACAGACATGAATTGACCAAGGAGCCTCACGCTTCTCTGCAGACGTCGTTCGGAAGGCGTGGGCGCCGACGTACCTGCCGTTTCAACCTAAATGCAATGGATCGGCGTTGTCCTTTGAAGACCTTGCAAGATGAGATCCTGATTTGAGAACCCACAAGATGGCCCCATGATTCTGTCACATACCCAGACGCCAGTTCACATGTCTTACAAAGCAAACTCTGAGCCCACCTGCGATCTTCAGGGTATGCGTATCCCCGGCCCCCAACATGTGTGAACTTGGGGTGGAAGAGGAGACCCCGCTCCAGACATCTTCACACGCTTTCCTGGCCCAATTGCTGGGCGCACTCCACGCATTCCCCTAGAGGGAACTGGTTGTCGGGATACTGCTCGCTGACCTCAAACACCGAACACACTGGACTGGTGGAGACTTTTTGATCTGGGGGCAATATGAGAGGCCCAGGAGTGTAGCTCACTCGGCCACGGGGGTGGATACAATGATGCCTGTAACCCTGAGCTTCTAGGATCTTATTGGCCAATGCTCACAAATCTGGAATTGATGCTGAGGCACACCGTATTATGAGTGCGTTTGTCAGACCACGGTTCTTCCTTTGTTCCACTTACGTAAGATATCCGTTGCCATAGAAAAACCATCACAAAATGTGGAAGTTCCAACATCTTGGGGAAAGATTCATATGCCCGCCAGGCTGCTGGAATGTCGAAGGCGGGACTTTGCCGGCATGCTGGGACTGCTATCCAGTTTCGGACCTGTTCAACAAGGGTGTTGTTCATGTACCGATGTGAGTCATCCACGGCAAGTCAGGAAGAGCACAGTTAAGGGGATACAGCAGCGGCGAAAGTACATCAAGGTCCCTGTGGGGCTTTCCCAAAGCTATCCGTTTCTTTCTGCAGCACATATAATGCGAATCTGAATATTTTGGTGGTATACAAGACTTTCAAAAATGTCCACCCAGTGTCGCCCAATTCTCTGCACAAAGGCACAGTCCAACATGGACTTGCGGACCTTGCGGAGCGCACTGTTGTCCTGCAGGATTCTGGGCTGGCTAAGATTCCCGAAAAAGCCTGTCAACTGTAATTAAAAGATTTGATGGGATCCATGGGGCTGTATCTCAGTGTCCACCAAAATGCCCGTGCAATCCCCATCAGAATTCAAGACAAAAATAGAGCAGGGCATGGCTTGGGGGCTCCTTGGCCCATAATCCCGACCCCCATCATAATAACCCCTAAAGGTTCCCCCCCCCATCCCATGGTACTATGTTGAGAATAATGGTTGTTTAGGGGGTTTGGGTGGGCTGTCAGGGGCGGAGCCTAGTCTCAGCTTAAAGGTTCTAGCCAGAGGCAACTCAACTCCTTCAGGGCGAGTGGTTCTGGTAAACAATGGGGGCCTTCTGAAAATTACGGGCCCTTTATTGGGAGTCCCCATGATAAATAGGATCGTCGTCTTTTGGGGTCTAAATTGGGTTCTCAAAGTGTCGGAACGTTCCAGATCTCGAGTTCTGGATTTGGGGCTTGGCTTCAGAAGCCGCATCTAGCACCATGATCCTATTTTGCAATGGGGCGGTGATCATCTATTGGGCAAAGCAATCTGGTACTTTCACATACCTAGCATTTTGTACTCCAAATTATACGAGTAGTTATAAAGATACCCTTACTATCATGAAGCATCTCAACTTACTTGATAAGCAGGATTACACGTTCGCCTACCCATCATGGCGCTAGAAAGAAGAATCATGAAACCATAAAGAGGCTACATGGGTTCGCACAAATAGCAGACTCATTAATGAACCCTTGAATTCAAAACGCTGTTTTACAACAAGGAAGCACGTCACTATCCCCAAGCTCCAAGAAGAACCTTGAGCAATCTTGCGGATGCACAGTCCTGCTCGGGGATGTTGAAAGACTTTGCCCCAGAGCCTCCGCCAGCCTGACAAATGGATTCTTGTGGACATGCAGAGGCCCTGACCTCTTTGGAAACAGCCCGCATGCAAGAGAAGTGATCTAGGACAGACATTCTTTGTTCCGGCTTCAAGCCTAAGGGAGAAAAGGCAGAGATTGATTAAGTAAGGGTTGAGGTGAAGTGATTACCATGGCTTCTGGGTGTTGCAAAGGTCCTGTGGCTAGGGATCGGGCTGAACGGGGTCAAGTCAAGAGGTCCGCTACTTGGCAACACCCTGTGAAGCCCTCCGTGCTCTTTGACATGTTGTTTCTAGTCTATGCTCATGCTTCTCCCGCACACATCCTCACGCTAGCAGACAGGCTAGAATAGAAGCATGCATGAAAACTGACTTTGCTGGCGGTTCGGCCGGACGTAGACAACCATTCCAGGAAGGTAGCTACCAGGTTTACCAGGTAGGTGACCACACAAATGCTCGTATAAGAGTATTGCGTCGATATAGGCCTGCTTTAAGGGCACCTGCCTGAAAATCTCTAAGGGTCTAATGGCAGACCTAATGGCGCAGAACTGCTGTGCCAACAAAAGCATAGGAATCGATCACTACAGGATTCAACCCGAACATGTGTGATGCATCACGGTAGGCAACAGCCAAATTTGTGAGAACTTCTGTCGTGGACCTTGCCTCTTCCTAGGAGAGTGCCAGCACGTCTTTGCTCGCTCACTGCATGGATTTCGATGTTAGGAACTGCGTGCAGATTGATGACTCCGTGCTGCAAATTCGCCATCTTTTTTGCTAGGTCCACAGCGCATTTCGCGGTCCCTTCTTTGGGGCAGCTGTCAAGTCGCTGGCATCACCTCTGAACAGGGCACGCCGTTCTCTGCAATACCAGTTGGTGCAGAGACAGCTCAGAGGTTTCGAACTTGCGACAAGGGCACTGATGTAGACTGTCAAGGCTACTAAAACATCTTTGCACAGAATGCCCTACGACGGGACCTCTTATCCACCTACAGATCATCTCCCCTGCCTTTCGCAGGCGTCTTCGCACCCGAGTTTCTGGATCTGGCCCTGCAAGGGATTTCGAGTTGATACTGTAGCTCTTGCTGCCGTAGCATAGTGGCCTTCAGCTTCTTTGACGCGGTATGCGCCAGTGATACTTGCTTCAAATTATGCCCACGATTTATTGCTGACCTGACAAACCAACCGCTAAAATTGTCGTGTTTGCGTCAGCTCTTCGCAAAACATTCAAAGAAGAGCTCCCGCTCTTCAGGGGCTGACAAACAATGGGTGCACTCATTTGGGAGCCAGGGGCACGTTTAAAGAAGCTGCAACATAAGTGCTCTCCTGCAGTCAAGGAACCCGCCGACGACGCCGCGCAGGGCGCCCTGCAGCAGGCGGCTTCCACCCGGATTGGCTTTGCTGTCCTCCAAGAGTTCAGGTTTGGGTTCGGATTTGACTTTCAAAATGCAGTGGGAATCCCAAACCGCATACTACAACCCCACCCGAACAAGCTTCCTGATCTGGGACAATGAAATTACTTCGATGTGCTATCTCGAAGCACCTCAGCCAGCGTACCCGCAGCTAACTTCCCGGTCTTCATGCTGAAAATGGTGGTTGCTGCCGCAATGCGACACACAGGAAGCAAACAAAACTCCTAAAGCCCTTAAACTTCTCAGAGCCAATGGAAACCTGACATCTCCAAGACCCTGTGAAGCCCTTAGACTGTACGCACTTGGGTGCCCCAAACACAGGGCATTCAGGAACTGAGATTTGGTGATCCAGCCCTGTCCTTTGGCCGTGTGTCTGGCGGCCTCACACGGAAGGCCGGGAGAAGTATCCTATTAACCTTTTTTTGTGAGGCTTATGTGTACTGAAGACCTGCAGTCCTACTGCCGAAGCCCGACCACCACAAGGCGCCCTAGAATCTTTAGAAACACCTTTGCGGTTGCAAAATGCTGAGCAGGCGTGGTCTTAAAGTCTAGCGCTTCAAGCTCCAAGCTTTGCTTCCCCTAGCCTTACACCCAGATGCTGGCTTGGCAAAGTGTCGTGACTAGCACGCCTTTCTGCTTGGACTAGCACCAGACATACCACGACAGGCAGCAACTAACTTTCCCGTGATGATCTGTTGCCAATTGTCTATGACTGAGACTCTTGATGTACTCAAAGCAAGACGGATTGCGAGTTGTGGCATCCAGACCTTGGACTAGAACACGACATCAGGGCCGTATAAAACCTGTACCTTTAGTTTTAAATTCTGGTCTGAAACCAGCTCAAAATCCCGATCCCTCATCTTCCGGCCAGATAGCATCCAGGACCGCCACCATCAGCCCTTCCTCAAGACCCTGAACTCGACCACGCTATCTGGCCCTAGAATGAAAAATCCATGCACTTCCAGAGCCCGAAGCCTGTTCTTCAGCAAACCCAAAGCATGGCGCTTGGCGCCTTTCTGCCAGTGAGGGCCGCTTCGCAGGAGGCGCCTCTTTCTCAGGCGCCTGATTTTCCTGATCACTGTGGCTTGTGTATTGCAACTCGAAATCTTGTCTGTGAGTTTGTGAGGCCTTTAGTCCCGGATCGCACTCTAAGCCTGAGAAAGACTACGTAGGACTCAAACGCCCCGAAGGGTTCCCGAAGCACGAAGGCTTTTTCTCAAGCTCAACAGTTTGCCTTCATCCTGCGGGGGTTGCTGACAAATCTCCACAAGGCAACGAAATTTAGAACTTCAACCGAAATTTGAAACTTGATCGGCCCCTTTGTTGAGCCGCGGTCTCATCTGTTTGAGTTCGAAGGGTGGCTTCGCACAGGTTTAACGAAGTGCTGCTCTCTTCCACCGGACTCGGTAGTGCAGCGCCTACTCTTAGGAATAAACCCCTGAAGCCCAAAGCCCTCCTGCCCCCAACATACCCTCCCCCAACTTTTTCGATGGAACCTAAGGCGAAAGGCAACACGCCTGCTCCGACTTGGCCCTGAAAGAGCTGGGAGACTCCGAGTCAGAAGATGACGCCTCGGTTTGTTTTAAACCCTCGGACTTTGGTGCCTGCACGATGTTTAGGTCGTAGGCTTAGGGTCTGGAATTCTTCAATCTGCAGCTTAAGACCCCGTCATCTTTGCGCCAGGTGAGCTATCGGCAAAATCCAAAAGTTGACAGCTGATCTGGAGATTAGGCTTTTAATTTGGGACACCGCTCCATTTTGCAAACATTTTGCACATGTCCGGGGTCTTCTTTTGCGTTTTTCCCCTTTGGTTTTGCAGGGTCTTGATACTAGATTGTCAGAAGGCTACTGGCTGAAAAGCAGCATGTTGCGTCGCTCAGGTGCATAGTAACTACGTCACCGAGGCTTGATTTGCTTGACAGGAGTGAGAGCAGTACTTACATAATCCTAGATGTAAATTTACTTTTCGATGCACAAAGCCTGTTCAACCAGACTGCACACCTGACCACATCGCATTTTCGAAATGACCTCATGAGCTTGTACGCGTGTACTACTTGCCTTTTCATTCCTTTCTTCACCAGACATGCGCGCCAAGCCCAAACCCAAATTCCAGACCTTTACTGACATGCTGAACCAGGATGATGCTGATGGAAACTACTGTTCAGGGTTCAGGTGTTTGGGGATGACACAAAATCGGAAGGAAAAGAAAGTGGGAATTAAATAGAACCAGGCATTTGTCGGGGTCGATGGTGGCGATGGTGGCAGTGATAGTTGCAGTGGGGATGGAGACAATTGCTATCAGGGCAACCGTCATTCAACGATCCCTAAAGGACCCCCAAACAAACCCAGTTTCCATAGCATGTTACTTTTCTCCATTTGATTCCTCATTATTCGGGTAGACTAATCCCTACCCCTATATGGGGGTATCCCTAAATTAGGGGCACCTTTTTGGGTGTCCCTATAATAAGGACTATAGTATATTTGAGTCTGTATTGGGGTCCCCCTATTTTGGAAAATACAAAATCATACCTACAATCAAGCAGCTTCTATTTGATTGTCTGTTGTCTTTTCTTAGCCCCGCTCTGAACCTTGGTTTACTGGCTGTAAGTAGAGAATAAAGGAATGTAATCCCTATATAACCCCATGTAGTATGTTCCCTCCTTCCCCACTAACCCTGAACATTCAAACCGAAATAGTGCTTTCCGTTTTCTTTTCCTTTATCCCTTATATAACCCTTTCTCATACCCCCTACATTCCCTCGTTCCCAGCTAACCTCCCTAAACCCTAAACCCTGAAGCGTAGTTTCCATTTGCTTTTCCATTAAACCACCCCTAACATCCCCACATAAGCCTATATAATCCCAGTTTCCATTTCATGTTCCATCTTCTTTTCCATTTGATTCTCCATTATTGGGGTAGTACAATAAACCCCCAAAAAAGTTGGAGCAGCCCCAGGCTCCAGAGTTGGCATGGGAGGGGCAGGTGGTGGCTTCCGCTTGGAGTCGTAGGCAGAGGACTTCTTGGCTCGGATCCTTTCACGATGGCACAAGGAAGTGGGGCTTAAGTTTGCTGCAGTTGATATGTGACAGGCAGGACGTGAGGAAACTGGACGACAAACTAATCCAGAAAACGACCCAAAAAATCCACAAGATGAAGAACCTCGAGAACCCTGAGGTCAAGGATCTGTCGCAGCTGATCCTTTGTGATGACGGTATCGCCGTCCAGTGCACCTGTCTGACATGCAAGGGCCATTTGCCGCGCTGACTCCGCCTACAGCAAGATTTGCGATTAATAATCGAGGGCTCCCTTGGCACTGGAAGGAAGTCCAACAAATTATACGAAATCCCGCCTGCGATAAGGCGACGCGCCACAGCATCAGTAGTCGCGCCCTTGTACGGGCGATGCACTGCCACTATCGCCTTTGCCTCATCGCTGAAGTCTGGCCTTGGTTTGAGCAACGGTGCCCTTTCCAGGTCCAGGAGTCCCCATAAGAAGAATGATGGCATGGTTGATAAGGTTGTCCCCGGGAGCAGAAACAGCCACATGTTGGCGATATAGGTAATGGATACCTCAAGAAGACCTAAGGATCGTTTGGGCAATCCATTTTTGAGCCTTTCAGGCTCGGCGCCGTGCACACAACCGGCACAGGTGGGTACATCATACTGTTGTAAGGCTTCACTCTAAGCAACAATCTAACGTCTGTGTCTCATAGGGGGCTTGGCTGAAAGAGACTGCGGACTAAGCGGCTTCAGCCTGACCAGCATTCTGGGCGGCGGTGCATTCCTCACACAAAGCCGCAAAGCTGTCATGCTTCTGAGCAGAAACTGTTAGAAAGCGTTTTATGATGTTGTATGAAAGAGCCTGGCAGGAGGCTCCCGGAGCTTTGAATTCTATGCTCTAACGTGCTTCCCATGTTGTAGCACAGATTCACCATGCTTCGGGAGACCCGGTGGCTTGGAAAAGCGAGCACAGCCATGCACTTGTTCTCCGAGTACTCCGCGTGAAAGTCTGCAGTGCTGATGCCATACTCCTGGCAAGCGGAGCATTGAGCATTGACATGTAGCCACCCTCTCCAACTATGCGGCTTCCTTAGCCTGACCTGAACGCAACTAGTCATCAGCCCAGACCTCTAAATATGTTGCTCCTACATGTTTTCAACCTGAAGCTACCATCACCTGGAAGCGCCTGGCACACGTCTCCCTGGGTGTCCTGCACCAACCAGGACCTCAGCTCCTGGCCATCAATGGGCATCTGCCCCTCGCTACTCAGCTCGATGAGGTTCCTGAGTTCTACCCAAACAGCTCAGGGTCCAGCAGTTTTTCAGGGACTGACCAACTGGGACTACACCTGTTACTTGACCATGTACTTCCTCAAAAACTTGTGACGCTGTCCCGCTCCCGTTGTCAACTTGCTTGCAATCCCCGTGCTGCTAGCTCATACTACAAGAATTGCATAGCAAACGTTTTAGTAGCATGGGGTGGGGTCACAAGGAATAAATGAAGCTATGCCAGGCTGTGTCCAGAGGTTGCGGGTATTTTTTGCGAGTTGGTTCTGGGGATCCTCCGGTTTGTGGTTGTCTTGCCGGGGGGGGGGGGGTACGTCTTGAAAGCAGAGATTCGTAAGGCAGAGGCCGCGAGGCGTGACAAACGAGCAAATCTACAAATATGAAATCATCAATCTCAAAAGAAATGCCTGAAACTCAAAGCATGCAGACTGGGTTATAAACGGGACCTGGGTGCTCATCTGGCACGTCCAGCTGCCTTAGCTCCCGCTCCTCCACGAAGGGCGCTGCAGCAAACCTTAGCTGGACTTTTTCGAACCCACACACAGACAACCATCAAAAAATGCAGCGGGAGAAGCGAGTCATAAGCCAAAAGGTATCTTTCGGACAAAAACCGAGCAACACGGCAGCAGCAGCGCTTGCTGCGTCAACAGAGTTGTCGTCTGTCACGACGTGCCTCGTTTGCCGCCCATTTCCCCAGAAGCACACAAGACAACATCTTGTGGGAACAATTTCAGGGCACGTATACAAGTTGCACGGTGAGGGTTTACTTTCAAAGGCAGATCACCGGCACCGGAATGCCTTAGAGAGCTTTGACTAGCACGATTTTCCTGCAATTCCTCAGGCAACTGCAATGTCAAGCACTATGAGGGCTCTTCATACTGGACAGCCACATCAGGGACCATAGGGGATTGGGTCCGGGGCTTTATTCCACTGATCTTGTTCTACCTCCCAGTTTCATCTCTAGCGCCCAAGACTAGCACAGAAATCTTCAATTCTGAGGATCTCTGCTTGAAAAATAGGTTCACAGATATAGCCATGGGAACACCAGATCAGAAAGGTATTTAACCCGACAGGCCGGGTGCCTAAGACCAGACAGGGGAATGAATCCTGGCACTCATCCTAGGGCTCTTGAGAACAATCATCCGCAGAATGCGTTCCCTCATTCCATGAAAACTACTAAGCCACTGAAAGGTGTGTGCAAAAAACTGATCCCAAAGAAGGAAAGCCCAGGGGCTGGCTGCAGGCTTCGTCCAGATCCCGGTAGCCCCCGTGCGGGAAACGCAGGTCCCGAAACCGGCACTCAGCCTCTTGAAAACTTCTCCAAGCAAGTGTGCTACTCACTACTCACTAGGATCCGTGGATGATTCTAGAGGCCTCCTCCTCTCTCATCCATTCTAGGGAAAATAGTTGAAAACAGCAAGACAA